TATATATATCTTGCCTAAAACATGTATTGCCATCTACACAAGCTCACTAAGTAGGCTGCGCATTGTCCTTCTGCTTTCAATTTTTCAATTTTCCAAGGTCTCTATCGTCAACATGTGCCCTATACATTCGAACTTTATATTTATGATGCTACATATAAAGGTGGTTTGGTCTCCATTATCTCTTAAACTTCGTCGTTGCTCACATGTTCGGTCAATGGTATTCTCAGCATCCTCCCATAGAACCACATTTTTGTTGCTTTAAGTCTCTTTTTCATCTGTGAGGTTTCTATCCAGCATTATCTTTTCTTTGTTTCTAACGAAAATTTCCCGTTTTTAATACTTAGCATTTAGACGCCATCTTTTGGTATCCCAATACACCTTTGGATTTCCTGCTTGGAAGTGAACATCTAATATTATTTTACAGGACCGATCCCAATACGTTAGCTCAATTCCCTGTGTACTATTACTTCTATTCCGAGGTGCCCTTTATGTATAACTTTTCAGACAGTTTTCTACATCATTCAGCTAAGTGCCATACGTCATTTCTCTTTCGATTCATTACTGACTAGACAGAAGATTTATTTTTTATTCCACAGTAGGTTGCTGTTTTCTCCTGCGGTAGACTGGTTGCCAACCAAGTCTTGAGAGTAAAATCTGTTCTGTTATTGAACCCATAGCTGTGGGCAGAAAAAATGGATGCATACCTTTCCCAAGCGTATTTGCATGTAAATAAATATAACGAACTCTATTGAAATTCAAACTCACCTCTCCAATTTCTCATTACGAACTAATATCCATTACCCCATAACACAGTTCCATTTCTGTATATATATATTCCAAAATGACTGTTTTCGAAATCGTATTTTTATGTCTTTCTTTTATTAAAATCGACAATTCTTTAAAAGCATAACTATAATTATTTGTATATAGTACGAACATGTTTTCCTGATTTTTAAGCTTAAAATTTAGTAGTGCAGATTATACACATGATGTACGTATTAACAATTATCTAGTTACGTGTGTGTCGGAAAGGTATGACCGACAGTAATTATACCTATTGTTTAACAAATACTTTAAATCAAAACTCAAAAATTATATTCCATTCCATCCTGGATATGACGATAAACTACATCCGCGTCATGGGTACAACGATAAACTATATCCGACTGCAAGGTCTCTGATCAGGAGGTTCTGAGGAGCGTGGGACAATCTCTTAATTGATGGTGTTCCCAGGTCCATCCTGACCCGGAGTGGTAGCTCCCAACTATGGGCAAAGTAAAGAGTTAACCCCTAAACTAGGGTTAAAACACTATGAAAGTGAAAAAATAGGTTTTCATACCAACAATATTTTTTTGACGGAAAAACTATTCCAAGCAATTCATTATTTCTAGCAGTACATTTTGAGGAAAAAATATTACTAGCAATAAAAATCTAGTCGGTATTTAATAACCAGCTGAGTTTGATATGCCGTAAGACAAAACAAACGAAAAGAAACTAATAAATATATTTTAAAAAAGCTATTCATATGCATGTTAAGCATATTTTAATCAGTTTCACTGCTGCTTTTGTACCAAAGATAGAAGGTCCTGACATTTTCATCTCTCAATGTCTTCACGGTTCACAAATATATTTTGTCGTTCTTCCTAAAAAGACATCTTATCTGCTGTCCAATGCGCTCGTGCTGTACCGTTATTTGAATGATCTTGACACAATTGTTTCAAAGATTCTTCTGTTTCAGAAACTACAAAGAAATATACCCGGAAGTGTGTATGAGTTTATATATCATTTATCTTGTTGTGAACTTGTTTACCCCCGCATGCTTATCCACACGTTTGATTTAAGTATTATGTAAATCTTGTTTTTAAAAAACCTAAATCCAATTATATAAGTTTCATTTTCAGGCAAGGTAAACCGGTTAAAGTTATACAAACGTTCAATTTAGGTTAAACATAACCGCTACAAATTTAAAAATCTTCTTGTTCTAATAATGATAATCCTGAGCAAAGCCTAAGAATAACTTGAAGTAGAGGGTTACAGTGTAAGAGAGAAAGATATACAGTGTGCTTATGTGAAAGGATAACGGTTAACACAAGACCTGCACAAATTAAGACTGTAGTTATCGGCAAAGCATCCTGTTGGGAATCCGTGTATTATACGCAATATATTTTTTCAGAATTTCTTAGCCTTAACTTAGGAGTGCGTTTTATACACGAACTTTGTGTATTATACACGAATATTTACAATATAATTTGCTTCACTACGTAGTACGGCAACACGTGTTTCTGTTTTTCTGCGTGTTTGCCTTTCTTGCTTATTTCTATTTTGTAAGTCTAAACTGTGATTAATATCTTTGTTTCAATGTGTGTCAAGATGTTATAAATCGATCACCGTCACTTGACCATTGTGTAATAATCAGTTACATGAGCCCGGAAATGAAACCGGCCAGATCGCACGACAGCCAGTATTCATTATCACGCCCAGACGCAGGAAAAGAGCACGT